TGTGCCTCCTCGTGGCAACACACAGTAACTGGGTGCCTAGTGAGCCCAGGTTAGAGATGGCCTACCAGCCTCCTCCACTCTCTCCTGGAGAATATATGGGAAAAGGAGGAAATCCCCCAAGCTCTTAGAGACGCTTCCATTGTTGATGTTTATAAGAACAAGGGAGACCGGTCAGACTGTGGCAACTACCGCGGGATCTCGCTGCTGTCCTTAGCTGACAAGATTATCATAGTCCTCCTAAACAGACTTCTTCCTGAGGTGGAAAACTCCCTCCCAAAATCTCAATGTGGGCTTAGAGTAGTTTAGACCATCACGTGGCACCACTGACATGATCTTTGCTGCCCGTCAGATACAGGAAAAGTGCAGAGAACAGCGTCGTGACCTGTACATGGCTCTCATCGACCTAACCAAGGCCTTCGTCTCAGTCAACAGGGAAGCCCTCTGGTGGACCCTCAGCCATTTTGGCCGCCCACCAAAATTCATCGCCATTGTAGGGCAACTCCACCATGGCATGAACGGCAGTGTCTTGCACATTGGCACCTGGTCTGAGTTCTTCCCCCCATCCAAACGGGGGTAAAACAATGATGCGTACTGCACCAAGTCTCTTTTTCCATTTTCTTGGCTGCCTTCCTTACTCTTGCCAATTTAGTTGGCGGGGTGGACATCGAGTACCGGGTGAAGGGGGGTCTTTTCAACATCAGACGACTACAGGCAGGAACAAAGGTGTCGGCAGCTTCCATTACTGAGGTTCAGCATGCAGATGACCTCACCCTTATCGCCCGCACTGAACACGACCTACAGGAGATCCTGAACACCTTTGCAGATGCGTATGCGCACTTCGGCCTTAAGATGAATGTACGTAAGACTTGGATTCTCTTTCAGCCTGCCCCTGGTTCAGCCACACCTCCACCATCCATCCAGCTTAATGGTACTACTCTCTCTAATGTTACCCACTTTCGGTATCTCGGCTCCCACCTGTCCACCACCGCAGACATCGCTGAAGAGATTCAGCATCGAATGAGATGTGCATCTCAAGCCTTTGGTAGACTCCGAAACCGTGTCTTTAGCTGTAGGGAGCTGAAATAATCTACAAAGTTACACCTATATCGAGCAGTGGTCCTCCACACCTTACTATATGGTAGAGATATGGGTCACATGCAGGAGGCACCTCAAGGCACTTGAAAACTTTTACCAGCGTAGTCTACGTTCCATTTTCCGTGTTCGGTGGGAAGACAAAAGAGCAAATGCCAGTATTCTCGCTGACACCAACTGTAAGAGCATCGAGGCTACCATTATCCATGAACAACTACGTTGGACTGGCCATGTTACCCGTATGGACGACAGAAGACTGCCAAAGCAGCTACTTTACAGCCACCTAACGAATAGTAAATGTAACGCTGGCGGGCAACTGAAAAGGTATAAGGATAGTCTTAAGACGAACTTGAAAAAGTGCCAAATTGACCCCGCACCTGGAAGACGATTTACTCACACCGTAATGCTTGGAGGAGCACCACCACACAAAAAGGCGTCAATACTTTCGAGTTAGCTCGACTGCATAACGAGGTAGACAAGCGCCAACGCCGGAGAGACGCCGCTGCCGCCCTTCCCGCACTAGATGTAGCCCCCCATGTGTGCAACATCTGTGATCTACCCTGACTGTCCCGTATCGGCCTCTTTAGTCACCTCAGATGTCACCAACCTAGGTGAAATCCTTAATAACTTGTCATTGTATCATAGCTGGATGATCGTCATGCATGATTCCGAGTGACAGCAAAGTTGAAGTAGTGTGTGTGTGTGTGTGTGTGTGTGTGTGTGTACAAGATATGATTTTTCTTTTAAAATGAAAGCCTAAATAAATATTATTTTGTAATTAACATGGAAAAAAATACTTTTACAGGGTTGTATAACATCTCAGTCGTATAAGATGAATTATGATATTAAATGTTGACGATTTGGATCCAGGGACCAAGGCGCCGGAAATGTATCCGGTTTTACTACAATCAATAGATGGCGGTGGAGAGGTCTCCACTTGGCAAACCTCCCGACACCATCGTGTTTTTATTTTGTGTTTTCTTGTCTTCTGTAAAATATTCTGTGTTATGTTATTGCTCTTCCAAGAATGCCATGTCGTAAGATTGAGGCTCTATCTTTCATTGCACCCTATCAGTATTGGATGATATTTAATGTTTGTTAGTGTGTGCGTGATAAGAGAAATGTTCTTCACTACTGATTTTGTAGTTATACATTTGTTTGTGACTGTTTCAGAAGTAGAAAATTGGAAATACTGTATGCATATAGCTTTGTAGGGCTATCCGTGGTCGAATCGACTTCATGTTTACGATTGTTTGCATACCTGTACTGTCTGTCTACGGGGCCCGGACAAAAGCCCCTGGGACAAAAGCCCCTCGGTAAAAGTGCAAAATCGGACAGAAGCCCCCTGTTTTTATGTTAAAGAGAGGGCCATTAGAAATATTAAAGATATATAGATTTAAATATGAAATTATTTAGATTTAAATATGAAATTATTACAATTTAAATAATTAGAATATTATAACTTTCAATTTTTATATAGAACACCATTAAATAAATAGAAAAGATAAAAGACGACATACTTTACCTTCATGTTCATTCTGTATTTACTGAAATGACCCTAGGGCCCAGTGAGGTCACTGAATGTCAGAGGACTAATTACCCCAGTAATTTACATACAAGAATTCTTGTTCCTGTGTTGATCACCTGAGTATCCTCCAAAACGTGACCTGGCAGTGTCACATCACATCACATTGGTGGGTAGGGCAAATCAGGGCAAATCTGAAGCATCAGTTCCACTTCAGCCACCGTGGTGTTAAGCTTATGGGTTGTTAGTTTGAATTTGCAGTCTATCAGTGGTGTTTAGAAAAAACTGGTTATATTCTCGGAGTGATCCGTAAAATCAATCTCTCTACAACCCCCATGGAGATCATCAAGAACAATAAAGGAGGTTCCAAACTGTGTGCAGAAGGCTACTTGTACACCAAGAAGAGTTCCAACAGTACACGAATACGCTGGGAATGTTCTCGGAGGAAAGCACTTTCTTGCAAAGGTTGTGCTCATACAGATTTAGAGTTGAAACAACTACTTTCTGTGACTGAACACAGCCACGACACAGATCCTAACAAGGTGAAGGCAGCTAAAGTGAAAAACACCATAAAGGCATGTGTTTTAATCAACAGGGGACGACCTCCAAATATCGTTGCAGACGCGATATGCGAACAACTACTTGAAGTCCGTTGTGCCATTGGTCGACTTGATTCTGTGAAGCTTAATGTCCGACGTCTACAGAAGGAGCAATGCCAAGGGACCCAACATCCCTACGAGAATTGGAGCATATCAGTGATGACTGGACTACTGCAGGAGCTCCAGAAAATCATGAGTTCCTCATTTATGACAATGGACCTGAGTCGAGAGACAGAGTTATAGTGTTTGCAACCGATCAGGGACTTAAACATTTATCACGCAGTACCACATGGTTTATTGATGGGACTTTTGCAGCAGCTCCAAGACTGTTCCAGCAATTATACGTCATCCGAGCACCTCTTGGGCCATCTGCTGTGACATGTGTGTACGCCTTTCTGTCTGCAAAGTCTCAAACCATCTATGAAGAATTCCTCCAAGCAATCTGTGATAAAGGTGATAATCTGGGATTCAATCCAGATCCCAGTACTGTGATGACAGGTTTTGAACGTGCAATGATTAATGCTAAAACTACAATTCTGGGACCACATGTGTCAACTCGTGGCTGTTTCTATCACCTGACCCTAAGTACATGGAGAAAGGTACAAAGCTTAGGACTGACTGCCGCATACAGGAATAATGATCGAGTAAAACATTTTTGTGGAATGTTGGATGGACTCGCTTTTCTACCTATAGACGAGGTGACCAATGGGATGTATTATCTGCTGGAGAATATACCTGATGTTAATGGATTGGAAGACCTAGTTGACTATTTCTAAAGCACATATGTGTTGCACTTATCGTCGCATCCAACCACCAGCTCTTCCCGATGGAGTGCTTCCCCCAGTATGCATGAGATGGATTCCTCCCGTTTCCACCACAATTATGGAATGTCCATCAAGTCCCCTTTAATGGGGAGGATCGCACTTACAACCTGTGCTAGAGTTGGAATTTTGCGTTCCATGAACTTGTGGGAAATGACCACCCAACCATCTGGAAGGCTAATGAAAATATTAGAAAGGATTAGGCTCTTGTATCAACAGCCCTGGATAAGGATTCTCGTGGTGAACCTCCAAGAAAACGAGTCAAACGTGCCTCAAAGGAACACCAACAGCGTTTGAAGAGCTTATGTGTCGACTATGTGAATGAAAAGAAAACCTTGGAGGAATTTCTGAATGGCATAGGTCACAACATCAGGTGGAAGTAAAATTAACATTAAATGAACCTTAATACTTAATGAACTTTTCAATGTTGTGCTTAATTGTTTTACTTTCCCTAGATACAGTATAAGATGCTCCTTTTATAAAGTTCATATTTATGGTTGTGTAAATAATTCTGTTTCTGTAAAATAGTGAGCAATAAATATATAATGCAAGTGTTAATGTGTTACTGTATAATACTTATAAAACTGATTTTGCCTCGATAAGACATGATCCTTTTATAAATGTAATTTTATGGTCCTAGGAGGCTTTTGTCCTCGGGGGCTTTTGTCCTGGGGGCTTTTGTCCTGGGGGCTTTATCTTAGGGGGCTTTTGTCTTAGGGAGCTTTTGTCCTGGGGGCTTTATCCTAGGGGGCTTTTGTCCGTGACCTCTCCTGGGTCAGGTCTTACTGTCGTTGTAGGGTGTCAACCTATGTGGGTGTACCCCTGCTCACCTACTTACTGTTATCTGTGTCGTATTTCTCTGGGCTGTAAGCTGTGGTCTGATAAACAATCATTACAATTGTTTGTATATCTGTATTGCCAATATATATGCTGACTTTACAAATTAATTATCTCTATTTACAGACAGGAAGCGGGGTGTTGGTGCTGCTTGTGGGCGTCGTGGTGGGGGCCTGGGTGCTGGGGTCGTGCGGGGCGTCGTGGGCGTGGCTCATGGTCAGTCTGGGCGTCACTTGGGCCCTCGTGTCCGGCGCACTCCAGCGAGCAGCCGAAGACGCCACCAGGTCAGTCACACACACACACACACACACCTACACCTCAAAACCATTTTTTTTCTAGAAATCGCCATACATTATCTTTTCACTTTTTTTTAGGTATTACTTCATGAAATACACAACCGTAACGGGTCATCGAAAAAGAATGCCCAGATTGTAATATGTAACTATTTAAAACCTAGACATTCATTCTTTTTCGATGACCCTTAATATAGGAAGCTGAGTATTTGTTAACAAGGGACCATAGACATATGTTTTGAATGGCATGTACCAATACAATGGACCAACTGGGATAAAGACTTTCAACTTCAAAATTTGTCTTTTTCACACCTTTTTATATTAAGTTGAGTACCACTTCTACTGCACATGGCTGATGCTGATGAGGAGGAAGGGTTAGGTTATGATAGTGAGTCTTCCTTCACTCGTTCATTCATTGCAGGCACTAGTTGCAACATTCGCTAGGATTCTCTGCAGTGTGTGTGTGTGTGTGTGTGTGTGTGTGTCCTACTTTAGACACACACATTCCTAGACTCCCGCATGCCTTGACACTCCCAATAAACTTTACTGTCGTCTTTTCTTCTGTCTACTGGCTTCAACACCCCGCATCCTCACCACACTGACAGGTACACTTTAACGTCCTCAGTGTCCTTGTCACTTACCAACACCCAACAACAACACCCCCACCATCACCCCCACCCCCACCATCACCCCCACCATCACCCCCATAACATCCCCAACAACAATCCCACCAACACACCTGACAACAATCCCACCAACACTTAACTACACCCTTGTACACCCTCGTATAACATCTTGTACACCCTCATATAACATCTTGTACACCCTCGTATAACATCTTGTACACCCTCATATAACATCTTGTACACCCTCGTATAACATCTTGTACACCCTCGTATAACATCTTGTACACCCTCGTATAACATCTTGTACACCCTCGTATAACATCTTGTACACCCCTGGACAGGTATGAGTCACTTCGCCTACATCGTCGTCGGGCGCTGCAGGCGGACGAGACGTGCGAGTGGCTGAACATCTTGGTTAACCGCTGGTGGGTCTTCTCGTCGGCCTCTATCTTCGCCAGGGTAAAGGCGGCTCTTGACCCCAGGTTGAACGATGCCAAGCCCGCTTTTCTAGGTGGGTAACTGACTTATTGGGGCTTTTCTAGGTGGGTAACTGACTTATTGGGGCTTTTCTAGGTGGGTAACTGACTTATTGGGGCTTTTCTAGGTGAGTGACTACCTAATTGGGGTCTTCCCAGCTGGGTGACTCCTTCAATGAAGACTCTTTAGTCTAGCGAGTAGGACAGTCTGTCTCTCAGGGTCAGGCCTTTGATAAAGACACAATGGTGACCCTCTTCACCGAGCCCTCGACGGGCCAATGTAATCAATCCAGTCTTCTTAGTCATGCTGTTACTTCAAATTGTTTCTCCTTATTAATGGTATAACAGGTTTTGGATCCAGCTCAGATACAGGAATTTCAGTCGATTACAGTTGCTAAACACAAATTTCTTGGTGTAAAAGTCGTCAAAATTAATATTCATCTTTGGTATTATGGATTTTGATAACCGAAAGTAGACATTGATAATATGATTCTCTGTTTAAGTTGACTGTTGAGATACTTATCCTCTGGAGATTGTTGAGGCATATAAACACAGGATTAAGTTAATAGAGTCGTGGTGCGGCGTCTTACAGAAGTATCTGAATAGGTTGAGATGTGTAGAGAGAGATTGTAACTTTGAGCTCTGTTGAAATGATGAAATGTATTAAGTCTGTTAAGACATGATAAATATATAAAGACCCTTAGAGACTCCCAGTTTGGCACGATGAAGAGCTGTAAGACACGTTGAGATGTTTTTATTTTTTACGTAAAGATTACCAGCAATAGCTTATTTCTCCTGATAATTAAAGACCCTAACGCTAACCTTATGAAACCTAGTTCTCCCAGGTAGCATTTGAGTGTGTAATCATTTTTCTTTGTGATTTACGTTGTCAACCTACATTATATCCACTACAGAGGCCATCTCGCTAAAGCAGTTGAGCTTGGGAGACCGGACACCTGTACTACGCAGTGTGAGAACGTGGGATGTGTCGAGCACGGGGGCGAGCATGGGGGGTGGCTCACGTCGCCCAATGTGTCCATCCCGCCCACCGCCTGGTCTAGCCCACGCCCCCACTCACACACTGGCCCTTATGTGTGACCTAGCGCTAGACTCGGACTCGTTCTCCGCCGTCCTCGCTGCCAGGATCGGTAGCAAAGGGTGAGTTCGGTGATACAGAGGAAAAGAGTGGGACTATCTGGTGAATTTAGGGGAAGTAAAAGGGACCATCTAAATTCTAAAGATTAGACACCCCAGTTTATTTAACCTAATAGTTAGACGCTCTAACGCTAACTGTGGATTATTTTAGGTTAGATTAGCAGATTAGTGTTAAGGTGGTTGATCTTAAAGGTGAAACAAGCTGAGGTGTCTAATCTGCAGGGGATCCTTGGTTTATAATGAACAGCCAGTGAGAGAAATGGGAGATAATTCAATTTTGACCATTGTAGAGAACTTAGAGAACTTAAGAAAATAAAATGTTTAATTTGGACCAATCTAGAGAACTTAGAAACGTGATTTAATTTCGACCCCCTGGACAGGGTGGGTGTTGACCTGGATGTGGGAGTGGAGAAGCTGGCGGTGTTAGGTCGTGTGGTGGTGACCGCCACCCTGGACATGGAGGCGCCCTTCCCCCACGTCACGCGCCTCTCTCTCTCTTTCACCGAGAAACCCCAGGTCTGGTTCAGCGTCAGAATCCTCAAGGTGAGTCCTACAAGCCCGGTATTTAGTCCTATAAGTTATCTTTTTAAGTCCTTAAAGGCTTATTCATTGATTCTTAAAAGCTATCCTTTGATTCTTAAATGCTTACCTTTAAGTCTCCCAAGTTATCCCAGGATCCCTACAAGTTATTCCTGGATTCCTTCAAGTTATTTTGACTTCTAAATGTTGTCTTGATTCCTACAGGCTATCTGGAGTCCTACAGGTTATTCCTGAACACCTAAAGTTATTCCTGGTGCCCTACAGGATATCAAGAGTCCCACAAGTTATCACTGGACTTGTACGAGCTATTCGGAGTCCTACATGTTTATGCTTCTGGTTTTCCACCCTCGAAACTTTAATGTTCTCTATTCTGTTCACTTTTTATTTTCTCTGACGTGTGTTGACAGTGTAACATTTGTCCAGCCTCCTCTGAACTTTGTGGATACATTTGTATTTTTGTTTAATTCTCTCTATTTTCTGTTCAGCTGACTGTGTGAAGACCACTCGTCTGTAGCTCAGTTTCCCCTTTGACCCCCTCACGTGTGTGATGACTCCCTTTGACCTATGTTCAACTCATTTGTCCTAGAGACCTTTCCTGGCTTCCATCCAACATTACTGACCTATTCTGACCTTCAGAATCCAGATTTAATTAAATACTAAATGCTGATCAAATGCTTGCCACTCTTGGTCAGACACAGATGATTGTGTTAAGTAGTGTTTGGTAGAGAACAATCCAAGAGTTCTTTCTATCTGATATCTTGTTAATTGTCCTGGGTAGTCATTACTCAAGCACTAAAGGAGCAGTTCAGTGTCTGTATACTTCTGGTCAAGAAAAGAAAAGCCTAAAAGAGCTAGTGAGAGGGAGTTATCTAGGAACTAATACAGTAATTTCATACACTGTTCACTTAATTTTCTTAATGAAACAGTATGAAGAAAAGTACCAATATGGAGTTGTGTTGATTTAATGCTTCTGGAGTATTGTTAATGAAGAGCTTCTTTCGGGGTTTTTCTCTCCTCACACAAGTTCTCCTTACGTGCTCTTCTTTTATCATTGCTCATCACACCTCTTATTTTTCCCTTTCTTCTCTGTTCCCCTCATGTCATACCTGTATTGCCAGTGAAACCATCTCACTCACTCGCAGCATGGCTCCCACTCCTTCACACTGCTCCCATCCACCTCTATTCTAAAGTTGTTATTCTCTTTTGTAGGCGGTGCAGATGATGGAGGTGCCTGTACTGAAGACATGGCTCCACTCACTGGTAATGGACGCCCTGGCCACAGCTTGGGTTGATCCGGGTCAGCTGGAGGTCAACATTCACTCAACTGATGTACATGTCCCTGAGACCCGTCCAGGGGACACCTTAGCCCAGGGAGTCCTCACAGTCATTATCTGGACCCTCAAGGCAACTTCAGGTCAGTTTCTGGACATAATTTAGGCTTCTGAGCAATAGATGGGTCATGTAATGGCTTAAGTGAACAATTATTGTTGAGTTGTTGGTAGGGCCAGATGAGTGCAAGTCACACCCCAACTCTGGTGTCTCTCACAGCCAAATTTGTCCTTGTCTTATTCAGTGTTTGAAGTGTTTCTTTTATTATGCCATTATGTTTGTAATTCTTTTTTCTGTATATATTTTTTTCATTTTCATTATTATTTTCAATACATTTTAACCTGAACAGGTAAGGATAAGAAAGTCCTGGATTAGAATGTCCAGATGAAAGAAATCTGTGGTGAAACAGTGAAACATTTTCCTTTTCAGATAAACAAACACTGCTTTGTCATGGAGATGGTATGTAGGAACGGGTCCTCAGCAGTAGATATGGTACTAACTGACGTATATGTTGACTGAAGTAGCTATTGACTGAGATTAGGAGAAGATGGATGTAATACGGCAGGGGAAAATAATCTATTAAAGATAAAGTGAAGTACAGTAGGTGATGAATACACAAAGAATTGTTAATCGAGAGGTTTAGCTATTTTGACTAGAGAAATAATTCAGGGTGGGGAGAAATCACATTGTATAAATTTTGAAAATGTTTATGGTTTCCTGGAATAACAGCCAAATACCAGAGAAATTTGGATATTATTTTCTTGTGTGTGTAACCGAGACTAAGAACTTTAGGGGAATTATTGTTAGACGTATGTATCACTCGTAAGTACATACCAGGCAGCAGGTCGATCAGTGGTGAAAGGGAAAAATTAAGTTAAATTTTTTTGGATGTGTGTGTGGGGGTTATTGGTCACATATTTGCGCTAATACAGTACATGTAATAGAGAGAAGCTTAGAAATGAATAAGAAAATAGAGAAGCTTAGAAACGAAGAAGAAAGTGCAGTGTAAGCTGCAGTCTTGGACTTACAGAAAACAAATGATACAGTAAGATGTAAAGGAGTGTATGGGAAGTGCTGACCATACATTGGGTAGTTATGCATATATTTATTAAACGCTGCCAAGTGTTTTTATGATAGAAGCTGTGCGTCAGTGGTGTGTTATCCTCTCCACCACTGATCAGCTCGTTAGCTCGTTACATCACACTTCAAAAGTTGTCGCTATTATTGTATGTAGGTGATGCTGTGCAGTAAGCCAAATTCTGATTAAAAGTTTGAGAGAATTTTAATACAGCAACGGATTTCGAAAGAAAAAGACAGTCTCAGTGATATGTCACTGGATGTAGAAGAGCTGGAAATTTTGAAGGAGTTTTAAGTATTTTGAATGGTGTTCAGTGAGGAGGGAAAATGAAGAGTGAATATAATAAAGGAATACAAGCAGGAACAAGAGTTGACGCCTTACGAGTGTGGATGTGATTGAGTGTAGACTACACTGTACACCGTAGAGTGTACAAGGAATGTATGTACAATACAGTACTTGGAGTGCCTGTTTAATTTCTTCATGTAGATGTGAAATTCACCTGTTTCATGATATTAATAGATCAAGAGAAATGGACAGTTTGGGAGGCATTATGGGGTGGTTGAAGAATTGTTAGAATAAGGATTGAAAGATGTTAGAGATAATGTATGTGTGGGATAAAGAAATTCTCTGGATCCTTTAGATTTTAAGAGAACACTAGGAGGGTATGACCACCAGGAGTAGGGGACATATGGTAGATTGTTAGGAGAGATTTATGATGAGATGATGTACAGTTGATGGCTAGGAAGTGAGAGGAAGACCTAAAGAGAGAACAACCTATATACACTACAGTTGATTTAGCAAAATACAAAAGGTGTCGCTTTAGACTGATTGAAGATTTGAAGAATGACTGGATTAGAAACTGTGGACAATTTTAGTACTTAATACTTGTTACTTGAACAAACCTGATGAATGATTAACCTGATGGATGATTTAATTTAAAATGCTCACTGAACTGTTGTGGATGTTAAGGGTTGACTGTAAATGTAATGTATACTGTATAATCTGTGGACAAATTGAACATATGAACAATTATGTGTGGATGTTTCTACAGATCACATGAAGATTAGCCCCCGGTATATTTCACCCTAATGCTACGGGGGGGGGGGGGTAGGTCTGGTTAACTCAAGGTGTGTTAGGTTAGGTTGGTCCAGTTAGATTAGCTTAGCATAGGTTAGGTTGGGTTAGATTAGTATAGGTTAGGTTAGTTCCAGTTAGATTAGGTTATGCTGGATTAGATTAGCATAGGTTAGGATAAGGTAGGGTAGGTTAGCATAGCACTGTGGTGGTTAACCTTAAGGTGATATAAGCTGGGGGCTAATCTTCTTGTGATCCATTTCTACTTTAACCTTTTGCTGTCACATTCTACACATGTCTCCCTCATTCTTTAAGTTTTCTGATAGAAGTAAAGATGATAGATGGGTATTAATAGATGAGATAGATATTGAATGAAGAAAATATTGATTATAGTAGGTATTAGATAGATAGATAGATATTTATTCAGTAAAATCTTCATACAAGCTTACAGTAGTGTAGATCAAATTATACTGTGACTGGGGCAGTTAAGATGTTGACTGAGGAACACTGACTGACTGACTGTAATAGATATTAACTTAAGTACAGCTCCTTCCCGACTTACGACGGGGTTAGGGACCGACATCCAGGTCGTAAGTCGGGAAGGAGCTGTATATAATAACGAGTAGATGCTGATTGAAGTAGATAATTTTTGTAGTAATATTGACAACAGTAGATAGTGACTGTATTACTAAAAGACTTTTGAAGAAGATACAGTACTTACTAAAATTGTACTGATGACTGTAGTAGTATATACAGTACAATATTATGAAAGTAGAGTTTACTGAAGTAGACATTAACTTAAGTAGAAATTGATTTAAGTACCGTAGATATTGACTTAAGTAGATAATGATTAAAGTAGATATTGACTGAAGTAGTCACTGGCTGGAGCTCTGGGGTTGTCAAAGGGAGACAAGATCTGCAGTGTCAAGGGAAAGCAAAGTCTGGTGGTGTCAAGAGTCCCGGCCCAGACATGGTGCATCCCAGAGTGCTAAGAGAGTTGTGCAACGAGCTTGGAGTGAATATTGTGAGCTCATGGAACAATCTGCTGGAGAGCATTGTGATGGCACAGAGTGTTGAGCTCATTCAAGGCCAGACTTGACCAACACTGGAGCAGGTTCTGATATATTCAGGAGCCAGTGCACTCCCAGTATCTGCCAACAGTGCATATCAGAGATGTGACCGACCACCCAAGTGGCTAACGAGCGGATCAGTGGTGAAAAGGCAGTGTAGGCAGTGTGGGCCTCTCGCCCATAATTGATATTTTTCCCACCACTTATCAACTTACTAGCCATTCGGGCAGTTGGTCTATCCAGTGTTATTACAGGAGGAAACCGGAGGCCGGGAAGCCTGTGATGTTTGGTAGTGAGGGTCACATTGGATAACACCCTTCTCAGGTGTATCCAGGCCAAGTAGGTCTCGAACGGTTTGAATCAAACCCTTGATATATATTGGTGAGAGATAGGCACCTTACCAATACAGTATAGCTGAACTAAGACGTATTGCATTTGCTTCTGTGCAGTGCCTCGTGCAGGATTTAATTGATTTTATATTTGATTATGTAGATGAGGATGACCCTCCTATGTATGCATAGTAACAGTAGTAGTGCCACAGTGGAAACTCCGAAACTTCGCTTCTTGCCCCATCAGTGAAGTTAAGTAACATTGAGTCTGGTAAGTACAGCACTTGGATGGGTGACCGCCTGGTCTTAAGAACACCAGATGCTGCTGGCATAAGGACTATTGGAAACAAGCATCTCAGCCTTGTCAGCTGTCTCTGGTCAAACTGACTGAATATCAATTATTATAATTATATGAGTGACTTTCCTTAAGTTTTGACTTGTGAATTTGAGGGGAATTTGGGTGATGAGGATGAGAAATACTGTACTACAGTACAGTCTCGGTTTACGCGGTCAATTAAACCCATGGAGGTCCGCGTAAAACGAGAAACGCGTAAACGAAATAACAGAACATATGGGATTAATTGAAATAGAGACTGAGCCGACCCCCAGACTACCCTCTTCCGACACAATATGTACGTTGTAGTAAAAATAACATCTTAATTTTATGATGGTATGCACATACAATTAATATTTATGAGAAATATCAATAATATTAGGTTTTTTAACACTTACTTTAGTAGAAGAGATGGCTGGGCACATGGGGATGGGGGGGTGGGTTCCGAGGCAGAGGGCAGATTATTGACCCTCACCTGTATCACTTGTATCACCTGTATCACTATCCACCACAGAGGCTTGCAGGGCCTCTTTGTCAAACCCCTCAAAGTCCATATCCTCACTATCACTGACTTAGGCTGGCTGTGGTGGGTGGCGGGTGAAGAACTCGGTAATGTTTTGTTGACTGGGCGACCTTGTGCGCACCCTGCCTGCGCCGCTTCCCGCGTAAATGATGGACTGTACCTCGTAACTAATAATTGCCGGTCTGGCCAGGTGCCGCGTAAATGACCAAACGCATAAAGGAAATCCGCGTAAATCGAGACTACTGTATACTACTGGTGGTGGTGGGGTAGTTTCCACAAGCCATGTGTCCAACCATGAGGATGATGAGGCTCCCACATGGGATTGGAGTGATTCTTTGTGTATTCCCCCCTGCCTCTGAACTTTGCTGGTGTAAATCTGGAGTTTATGGTAAGATTAATTTATTTATATTATTTTTTATTTTTTTTTCTGTTCCACTAACCAGTAGTAGTGGCAAGAGCAGCTATCACCATCCTCAAAGGTTCAAGTCTAAACTTTAATGTGTTGAGGGGATGGCATATATTATTGAACTCGACCCAATAGATTATTAGAGTTGATGTACTGACGGGAGGTGTTGGGTCTATTGATTGCTGGTGCTGGAGGACAGTCACTCTGTCCTCTTCACCACTGATCAACCTGTTAGTTGCTTGATTCACAGTTAAAGTAAGATATTTGTGTTTCCCAGCAACATTTAACTCACTTGTGTGTAGTGCAGTAAATTCTTCTCCATTAATAAACCTGTTATAAAATTTTGTTTCTACCATTCAGTCCATTTACACTTCCTAAGTCAATAAGTTGCCATTTCTTCTTATTACAAACAATTGTAAATCTATATAAGTATACTGTATATGTGTGATTGGTTCATATCTAATGCTGCTGCTTTACATGAGTGTCATATTACTGTAAGTTGGAACCACAAAATGTGAGAAAAATCCTAAATACAGTACAGTACTAACATTGCTTAAGCTGCCTCCCGAAAGTTGGGAATGCTGTATAGATGCCGTACTACTTCATTCCTGAGCAGTTGCTTCATATTTATAAGGGATTCATTCGTCCTAACTTGGAGTACTGCTCTCATATCTGGGGTGGTTCTTCTTCTGTCCAACTGTTAGATAGGGTGGAATCAAAGGCATTTCATATTCTTAACTCCTCCTCCTTTAGTTGTTAATCTCTCTTCCCTTTCTCTTCACTGCAATGTTGCTTCACTCTCTTTTACAGGTACTTTAATGGGCAGTGTTTGGTGGACTTGGCATCCTGTGTACAGCTGGCAAGGCAGTGGGCTCGTAATGCTCGTCTTGCCCACAGTGCCCACCATTTCTGTGTGGGTGTCAGTCACACTAGAATAACCCATTATAGTACATCTTCTTTCCTCACACAGCCAAACTGTGAAATGCTCTGCCTTCCTCTGTGTTTCCATACTCTTCCAATCTGTCTCGCTTCAAAAGCTGGTTTTCCTCCATCTTCGTGGTGTAGGTTAATACTGTACAGGTGCTCCTCTACTTAAGAACGTTCAACTTACAAACTTTCAGAGATACAAGCATCATTACTGAGGGGGGGTTACCTGCCAGAACAGGTGTTTAATGTGGATGAGACTGGATTATGTTGAAGAAAATTTCAGATAGAACTAACATTACCTAAGAGGAGAAGAGTGAGCCAGGTTTTAAGGTTGTATTAAAGGGTATAGCTGTATAAATATCCATAATCTTTAAATTTTTTACAATATGTTTGGTATATACAGGAGTAAAGTTGGACTTGCAAACAAGCCTCAGGAACGTAACTCGTTCGTAAGTAGAGGAGCACCTGTATAATCTTTTTCTCTAATATTTTTTCTTTTTACTCTTATTTTTGTTTCGCCCCCTAGGCCCCATTGTATGTCAATGACGTGTGCCCGGGTGGGCTATTCCCCAAGGAAAAATAAATAAATAAATAAATAAAAATTAAAAAATCTGAAAAATATATCAGGATTCCAATCTCATCTTCTCATTATCCTTAAGTACAGTACAGTACAGTACAGTATAGTACAGTATTTGCATGCCAAATACAGTGATTCCTCGCTTAACGTCGTGGTTCCGTTCCTGAAAACCGCAATGTTAACGGAAACAACGTTAACGGAATCAAATTTCCCCATAAGAAATAGATAATAAGGGAGTTATGTTCCTGAGCCTCCCTTTGCCCCATGAAATGCATTACATATACAGAAATTCAATGACATTTTTAGAGAAAATAGTACCACTTCCAGCACTAACCTTAATCTTGTGCATGTTGGTCTGGATAGTACACACTGTTGTGGGGGTTAGCATTGCTTCTTCACATGAGTAGCACTTGATGGGCTCTTGGAAGCCATTTTGAATTGTTAGAGTACAGTATTAAGAGCAAAGATACTTAAACACGCACAAATGCTGTGGAACCCTAACAAAGACTGCCAACGTTTGGGGATGCTGTGACGATCTGCGAGTAAGAGGCAGCGCGCCAAGACGAGAGAGCATAACGCGGCAAGACAAGAGAGGGTGGTGCGCCATAAAAAGTAGTCCGTGATGACGCTAAAAGCGACGTTATATTGATTCGTCGGGACATTAACTGAATTATTGATATCTAAATTGTAGCAACTTTATAACGAAACAGTGTTATTGGGAGCAACGTTAAACGAGGACTTACTGTACTGTACTGCCAAGTGTCCAGGCAATTATGTATACAGCTTTACATTCACTGTCTTTATGGCCTCATTTAATCCTCTATAACAGGTGTAAGTCTGGACGAGGACAAGTGGGTGGTGTTGATGGTGGACGGGCAGCAGCACGTGACCCCGACCATTACGTCTCCTCGCTGGCAGGAGGCATGCAGCTTCCTGGTGAGCTCCTCCCCAAACCACCACAACCTGGTGCTCAAAGTCAAGACTAAGAGGCTCATCACTACTACTCTAACACAATACGACTTGCCACTCAGTCAGTATGGCCTTGACAGCTGTAGAGTGTGAGTACTAACACCTGTGTGGCTCTCCTGCCAAGCTTACCATATGTAGAGTGAGTATTAATGCCCTCACACATTGCTGGCACATATACCTGTGGACACCCAACATAGACTCATGTAGATGGTATCCTAACAGCTTTATTTTTATTGCCAATACTAAAATACACATGTACTTCTGTCTTATACTCATTAGAATCATAATATTTGTAAATACCTGTGTGTGTAAAGTAATACCTAACTCTTGAAAATACAATCTAGACACCTGTACATTGTAATTTCAGTAAATCCTTGATAACTCGGCACATACGGGGCTCTGGCCCTTGCCAAGTTATTGACCCATATATGTGTACATGTAATTACTAAATGTAAAAAAGTAACACTTCCCAGCACTGCAGGCGAAGAGTGAAGCATCATAGTAGGTGACACAGAGTTATGGTAGTTGACACAGGAGAATTGACCCAGAGGAATGGGAGTTCAGTATTGCTGGATATGACTCATTTACGAACCTTTCTCAAGAAACTTGCAAGAGGGGTGTGGTTATCTATGCTAGGCAAGACCTTAGAGCCAGCCTAGTGAGGTCACAGGGAGAGGATGTTTTTGAAGAGTCGAAGTGGTGTAAAATTAAACTAAAGGGAGGAAACTTATTGTCGGGTGTATCGACAGATCCCCAAACTGTGGCCCACTAAATCAAAGGAACTTAAGAGCCTAAATAGACAATGCGGCGATGCTCAACCCTAGCCACCTCCTTATCATGGGGGACTTCAACTATGGCGACATCGACTGGAGAAACGAGTTCACCCCAAATGACTTGAATAACCCTGCTACTCTTTTTGTAGAGACCCGACACATTACAGAGGTGAGCAAACACCCAAGCCACTAGACCTCATCATAACAAACGAGGAGGGTATGGTGGCCAAACTGGAACACCTTGCCCCAGTTGACACCAGTCACCATATAGTGTTGTCATTCAGATTTAGCTGTTACCTAGTTCAAGATAAAGCCAGGCCAAGGTGCAAATATTACACGGGAAATTACAACGGGATGAGGGGTATCCAATGGCCTGACTCATTAAGGCACAAGAACACAGACACTACGCTGGATATCATTACTAGTAAAGTGACCCATGGTAGGTGATGCAGGTGGCCAGATATTCCAAGATTTTCCCAGATAATTTTATAAATCTCGGCATTTCCCGAGTTATACTATAATATATTCTGAGACCATATCCATGCCAAGTAATCGAGGGTTTGCTGTACTGTGTTAAATGGCTACTACAGGCTACTTTACAGTACATCTGTACAGTGTGTGTGTGTGCGCTGTTTTAAGTGTGACATTCATGACCCATCTACCCTACACCAGCAGGTGTTGTTACTAATTTGTAAAGCAGCTTTCTAATTGCTTTGTGAGTACAGTACATGTATGTACATTGTTTTGTTTCGTTTTAAATCTGGGAAGAAAAATTAAAATTTATGTCTTTGGTTATCTGACACTTGACCAAATGTCCATGTAGAATAGCTCTTAAGATGTTGATATACTGCAGTTCCTAACCGACAGTATCCTTTTAAAAGTATTGTCAAATTACAACTGAAATAACTTTTATCAGGTTTAAATTCAGGATTGCTTCTCATTATTGTTTTCTGGGGGTCAATCCCTAGGTCAGATGTGAGAAGGGCATTACAGTACCTGTAATACCCTTCTCCTGTCTTCAATGTGACCAAATATTGCAAGCTTTCTCTGGGTACTCTCATTTCCTCCTGTATTGTACTAACACCAGACAATGAAGGTTGTAACAAAGAGCTACATTAGTGACTGCCTGAATGGCAAGTAAGCTGAGAAGTGATGGAATTGATAAAAACAAAGTAAATAGATACAAAATTAAGATGAATGAAAATAAAATTCTTCTTACATGCAGGGCAGAAACGGTCCTGCAGAAGAAAGGAGGCAAGGTAATAGGGGGTAGTGTACCACCTCTTCACCTGCGGCTCCAGTACACCCCACTCACCCCAGTGAACTTGGAATCACCACTACCTGGCCCCCTGTCAGACAACCAGGAAGGTGGGCTGATTGATTTTTTGTGGTAAATTAATAATTATGGATAGGTATGTGCAGGTAGTAGACTTGAAACTAATACTGTACTGTATATGCAAGTGGAGTTGAGATTGCTATATGCAAGTGATGGAGTTGAGATTGATTCTTGAATTTCCCATGATGACTGAAGACAGAGACGTGCAAATGACAGTGATAGAAGAACACGTATTAGGCATCAGAAATATCTTTATTCATTGTAGAAACATATTCATACCCTACCTTTGATGAGAAAATTGTTTGTTTTCAAAGAAAATCATGATTTTTTTAATGTTTCCTGTTGAAGCTTAAACACATTTGCAGTTGCTGTTGCTAACTCATGTAAACCCTCTGCAACAATAAAAGTATGTCCCACAAGGTAGAGATTCAGACAACACACCTCTGGAGGCTGATTAGCAAGAAGTTAAACTGGTTTTATGCAATAAACGTTGTACAGTACTGTAATGGGTTAACCTAAGTTGGATTAGGTTTACCCTCTCAGCCTTGCATGATGCCATTGTGGCGTCGAACATAGAAGGCGAAAAACCTTGCGCTCGGCCTCGCGACGCCAACGTGGCGTCCAATGGGCTATATTTTCAAATAACTCAAAACTTTTCAGTGAAACTGTCTGAACTTTGGACGCCATTTGACAGACGTCGTTTTCTTTGTGTGGGCCTTATCACCTTCCCTGAGATGGTCTTGGTCATCGTGTGTGTGGCAGCGAATGAAAAAAAGGAAGACAGTGTCTGGCCATTAGAGCTAGAGGAGGGTGCGCCGCTCAGCCCTTTAATTATTCCATGAGTTTTTGTATTATATTATTTTTCCTTATACCAAGATATTCTACAAGCTTTGTTCTTTATTTTGTATATACAGTAGTACTTTTCAATGAACACCATAATACAAGGAAAATGTGAATGGAAATCGAGATGTTACAAACATTTTCCTACTTTTTCAACTTATACTGTACTCGAAAAAAGTGGCTTAAATTTAAAGAATTTTCAATTTGTTATGGTTTCATACAATTTTTCAGACAATTTTATGCTAGAAGAGACCCCATTGCAATTAATAAAACAAGTCCATGGCAGTGAAATGAGCCCTAAAAAAAAAATTCTTTGATTTTTTGCCAAAAACCTCCGAGGCTGAGCGTAAGTTTTCATGCACGTACAGTGTATGTGTCTCAGGCTCCGAGGCTGAGAGGGTTAAGTTGGATTTAATTAGGTTAGCATAGATTCACTTATGTATGGTTGGATAAGTTAGGTGGGCAACTGATAGCTAATGATTGGGAAAATGATAGTCGGTTGAAGACTGGCCAAGCAAGACTTGAGCACCTTCATCACTGAACCAACCCTAAATTTGATTTGCCTCTTGCAGGTGCTGGTGTATTATACATTGTGGTCCACGGAGCAGATAATATTGCTGCTGTCACAGACTATCCTCCCAGCCCATACTGCCTCATATTCAGCAATCGCAAAAAGGTTTGTAGGAAGAGGCCAGAGCTAAAGTTATTCTATGTAAAGATGCATTGATTTTTATTACATTGTCAGGATAAGAATTGAAGTTGAAGTATTCATATTATTCTTAGTTTTAGTTCATATTTCATGGCAAAATATTCTTGTTATACAGTACTGTACTGTATCCCATTATCTATTTGGCATTTTAGCTCCAGGTCAATAATATACCTGGTATAGCATTTTGGAAATACAGTAACCTGTCCAGTATGGTAAAGATACTATTTTTATTATCACCAATATTCCTTATAAGCATTATTGATTGACTCTTGCCAAAGCACTAAATGTTTCACCATAATACTCTAAAACACATTTTCCCCGCAGGTGAAGACAACACACTATGTTTGTGAATGTGGGTCACCACGGTGGGAGTGTGGGGTGGAGGTCCTGGTGAGGGACTTAGCTGCAGTGACACTGGCTGTAGCTGTTTGTTCCTTGCCAAGGGGCACCCAGGATACAGAACTTCTTGGCTTAGCCTCCCTTTCTCTTGCTACAGTGAGTTTAAGTAAAGACCCAAAAATTATTCATCATAAGCAAGTTAAATAACATACAGTACAAATAGCTGTTGGTAGAGCAATATCTTAGATTTTTTGCAATTGATCTTTATTCTGGAGTGTACATACTGTGTTTCTTATTATTTTCACTATTTCTTGTACGTATTATAATCTTGAATTAAATTTTACATCAGAAGTCTGAGTTTGTAACTAAAACAGTTTTGTAACCCCTCATGTAATGCATTTAATTTATTCATTGTGAATGTCAAAGCACTTTCCTGCATTCTTTGATATCCCATGGCATTCTTGGAATCTAGGCATATAGATATTTCAAAATACGTATGTATTGTAGACCTTTGATATGAAGCGAGAGTGGGACTGAGAATTGTCATACAGTATAAGAGTGCATTATATCCTTCTATGTATTGTATCACAATACCTTGTATCATCCAATGTTCCTCAGGTGGAGCTGCCCATGGTGCGCCGCCAGATGTCTCTCACCCGCAGCCTTCCCACACCTGGTGGTGCTTCAACTTCCACCTCATTGCCAGGGTGAGTACCTCTGTCATCCCTTCTGCCATCATGTTCCTGCTGTTATGTCTCCTCTGAACTCACTCCTGGATAAAGGCTGCCCTTCATATCATTCCTTCTCTCTGCTGCTTTACCTTCTCCACCTTCCAACCTTTATCACAACCAGTAACCCTCAGCATTATTTCCTTCCTGACACTACTCTCTTGACTTCTTTCCTATATCCACCTATGTTAACCCTCTGCTACCACCATCTCCTTCATCATCACTCCCTTCCTCACTTACACCCTGCATAGTAACTCTAATACCCCACACAGGACGGTGACAGTGACAGTGGTATTCAGGTCTGTGCCATCGGTGGCTGGATGCAACATGTCTTCAGCTGATTTGGGATCAGAAAAAGGGTTCACATCTACTTTTGGTCCTTTGTCAACCTCCCAACCTTCACCAGTTCTCACCTCAGCTGCCCAGCGGAGATCCTCACTTCCCTTGGTTGATGATGAAGACATGGCCTTCAAGAAGCGTAGCAACACACCCTGGTACAGTCAGGCAGTAAGTGATACATTATAGGAAGTTATACATCAATAGGTAGTAGAGATAAGTTATTCAAACTCAGGTTAGTTTATCTAAAATATCTGTAAAATTATTAATAACTTATAGAGCTAAAAACAACAGTGGCAGATTGTAACCCCATTCCACTTCCTGATCTCACTTTTCATGTACAGTATTCAGTATTAGATAGATAAGAGTTTAATAGTGATTATAGATCCATGTGAGGAGCTGCTATTTTATGTATTGTTTTACAGAGTCGATTCCTAGGGACAACCCGGGATGGAGAGACTGGCACACAGGACATTGGTGACATTATTGCCTCTGGTCTGGGCCTCATGGAACTCACTATCATCAGGTATTAAATCATTTCAGTTATTTTACTTTTATCCTCTTCACCACTGATGGGCTGGTTAGCCGCTTGAGCGATCGGTCACATCTCTGTTACGCACTGTTGGCAAGTACTGGGCATGCACCGGCTCCTGACTGTACTTGAACCTGCCCCAGTGTTGGTCAAGTCTTGCCTTGAAAGAGCTCACACTCGGTGCCATCACAACACTTTCTGGTAGATTGTTCCAAGAGTTCACAACTCTCACTCCGAAAAAGTTTGCCCTCACAGTTTTCTGGACTTGTGGCTTTATCAATCTTGAGCTGTGACCCCTTGTGGGGCGAGCGTCCGCCAGCTCCAAGTAAGGACACTCGACTGAGTAGTGCCCCTTGAGATGCTTATACACCTCAATTAGGTCACCCCTTGCCCGTCGGTAGTATAAGCTAGGCAAGTTCAGGCGCTCCAATCTCTTAGGGTAGCTGAGGTGCCGAAGTGCAGGCACCAGTCTAGTGGCCCTCCTTTGAACATTTTCAACCAACTGACAGTCCCTAGCATATCTCGGGGACCAGACGGGGTGACAGTACTCCAGATGGGGAAGCACTTCACTCTTGAAGATCGTTACGAGGGACAGAACCGTCTTGATATCTGAACAACCTTCTTATAAGACCCAATAATTTATTTGCATGATTTACCTTCTTCTCGCAATGGCTCGAGAACTAAAGCTCATTGTCAACATACACACCTAGGTCCTTCTCACATTCAGTCTCAAATAGTGCAGTTTCTTCATCCCATTGGGACATATGATATGCCTCCTTACCGTTGGTACGCCCCAGGTGCATCCTCTTACACTTCGTGACATTGAATCTCAGCAGCCATTTCTTCAACCATTCTTGGAACCCACAGAGGTCCTTCTGCAGCTCTTCACAGTCCGCTTGGTTCTTGATTTCCCGAAATAACTTGGCGTCATCGGCAAACATTTGTATGGAGGAGTGTACAATGTCAGGCATGTCATTTATGAAACAAACAAACAACTGCGGGCCCAATACACTGCCCTGTGGTACCCCACTTGTGACAGGTACGGATGATGATTTCGTGCCATTAATCACCACACACTGCTTGCGGTCGTATAGAAAGTCTTCTATCCACGCTAGGACATTTCCCCGAATTCCGTACCCTTCCAGTTTGATTTCCAGCCTTTCGTGGGGTACACTGTCGATAGCCTTGGCAAAATCTAGGTAAATATTGTCGATATTATCACCTTGTTCCAGAATATGGGTCCAAATATCCAATACCTTGAGCAATTGTGTTAAGCAGGAGTGCCCCGGCGTAAAATCGTGTTGGCAATCCATCGCTGCATCTCTGATAATACTCTCAAGTACTTTACATATTATGCTGGTCAGGCTCACTGGTCTATAGTTGTTTGTGGAGTGATGATCGCCCTTCTTGAAGATAGGACTCGCATAAGACACTTTCCATTCACTGGGGACCTTTTGTTCATCAAGGCATTTACAAAACAGGATCTTCAGGGGCTCAGCAAGCTCGTTGCACATCTCTCTTAGCACTAGGATGCACCATGTCAGGGCCGGGACTCTTATGCACCTTTATCTTTGACAGTTTATTTATAATACCCTCTTCTGTGAACACAATGTGGGTCAGTGCTGTGTCGAACTGTCAGTCCTCTCCACCAAATGATCGGCTCGTTAGCTGCTTGGGCGATCGGTCATGTCTCTGTTGCGCACTGTTGACAAATACTGGGCATGCACCGGCTCCTGAATGTACCTGAACCTGCTCCAGTATTGGTCAAGTCTTGTGTTGAAAGAGATCACACTCAGTGCCATCACAACACTTTCTGGTAGATTGTTCCAAGAGTTCACAACTCTCACTCCGAAAAAGTTTGCCCTCAGTTTTCTGGACTTGCGGCTTCTTCAATCTTGAGCTGTGACCCCTTGTGGGGCTAGTGTCCGCCAGCTCCAAGTAAGGTCACTCGACTGAGTAGTGCCCTTGAGATGCTTATACACCACTTGGTCATATGGCCAAGCAATCATGTTTGGGACCTACCATTACATTAAGTGCTAACTATTGTGAAGTATAGCTCACTATCACCAAGGTGTTATTGGATCTCTTGCCATTAACTTGAAGATGTCAAATTTCCCATATCTTTCCTTTCATTTATCTGACATTCTTAACACCTTAGCACCTTCCTTCCTTTCACCATTAGGGCACGTGACCTGGTGGCCAAGGACCTGAATGGATATAGTGACCCATACTGTGTTGTGAAGGTCAGTGGAGAGGTCAAGTACAGGACAAGAGTTAAGAAGAAGACACTCAACCCTGAGTGGGAGGAAACCCACATGACCCACCTGCCTAAGCACCCTGATTCTTTGGCCATTGTGAGTACAATACTTATGGCATTGCTTTGTAACCTCTGTGAAAAGTTTTCAAGCATGTGTATCACTTTTGTTGTATTTTGACGTACAATCTCGGATGAAAGTTCTCACTACAGTCAAGGTGGATAGTTCAAAGTCTGCTCACCCTTACTGAACTACAGGTCCGCTGTTCAGCCATCGCCTCTGTCCCTCCCTACACACACACACACACACACACACACACACATACACAAGCAACCTCGCAGTTCAACAATCGAGCTCTGATACTTCCATTTCTCAATAAGGACTTAGGGAAGGATGTCGTGGTTTTGTTAATAAATTCACGAAACAATTTAATCAAGTTTTACATTATTTGACAGAATAGGTTACATCGTTATTAAATTATCATGACATAATGCAGAGTGTATTTTGGTGGCTGGAGTTTGCAATGATATCAGAATCCTCCAGGCTGTATTGTCCCTAGAATGGTAGCCTGAAAACTAAGCATAAATGTGACGAATAATATGGTTCATAAGAATGCTTTATCACCGTCCATCTTATCATAGGGTCTACTGCATGTAACCTTGAATTTATCCCTACAATGGATGACATGATGGGAGTATGACTGACTTATGTGTGTCACAACAAGAAGTAGGTCACAACACTGATTGATTAGCATTTGATGGAAAAATAAGATAAAAGTAGCTTGACCATATTTTATTAATAGCTATACTCGTATAAGTAACCACAAATGTTGCTTACTTAATATTATATACAGTACACTCAGTATCTTTGTAGATAAATTTACAATTAAAAAAATAAAACAAAGATTCAAACAATCTATTCTTTAGATTATGTCTTAACACATATTGTCAGCAAAATTATTCAATTAGTAGCCAGTCCAACTGCCCGGCTCTTCAGTGACGGTCTGTAGCCTGTCCGGCATGGACGCCACAAGGTTGCGCATAACAGCCTAACAATCAGTTGTTAATGTTTATTGACAGATAATATACTGAATAAAGTAGATTGGCCTAATGTAGAGATATAAAACTTTTGTGAGTCCCTTTATCTTATTTGCTGCTCTTTATGGTAAACTAAAATCATTTACGGTAATTACAATGATCTGCATGACCTAACATACAGTGGTCCCTCGGTTAACGGATACAATTCGTTCCAGAAGGTCGTTCGTTAACCGAAAATTTCATTAACTGAAACCATTGTTTCAATGGGATTTTGGGTAATTTGTTCCAGCTCACTGAAAATTACATGCAAAGTAAAAATAAATGCAGTAAAGTACACATACTTTAAGGTGTGTATGTAGAAGGCTCCTGGTTGATGATGATGATGATGGGAATTAGAAGTGGGGGTGGAGGAGAAGGGAGAAGAGAAGGAAGTGGGGGTGGAAGAGAAATCACCCCATGCTTCATGCCGTCATTTCACCCATAAAATTTTAAGCTCGCTAGGTGTAATTCAAAATTATTTTCTTTAAATCAACACTGCACTGCACTATATATTGTCAATGTGTTAAATAAATTTCAGAATGACCAATAATTGTACTGTAAAAACGTAAAAATAGTTTATGTTCAAGAGAGCCACAAGCAAGATGTTACCTCCACTGACCAGAGATACAAACTGACGCCTTGGTGGGTGAGTCAAGTGGCTGATTGGCACACCAAAAACTAGTTTCTTGTACTGCAATTATATTAAATAATTGTTAAAATGACTACAAATGGGAACGAATTTAAGCCCTAGAACCGATTACTGTATTGGCGAACTACTGTAATATTCCAGCTGGTGAGCAAGTGAAAACATGTTGACATGATTTTGTAAGAATTTTGTTAACCAAATTTTTGTTTGTTAACCGAATTTTTTTTCGTTAACCGAATTTTTGTTTGTTAACCGAATTGAAGATTCTTATGGAAGGTAATTCGTTAACTGAAACTTGTTAACCGAGGCGTTCGTTAACCGAGGGATCACTGTAGACAGTTTCATTTCAGAAGATTAATTAGTTTCTAAAATACAAAACTGACAATAATTTCAATACAAATGTCAGATTCTCTGATGATTAGGAACCAAAATAATCTAACTTCAGTAGCAATTGGAAACTCGGAGCGTCCCCAAGGACGATGTCTGGATACGTCACTTCAACTGGCAAACTCTACACTGAACTTGCTTGACAATTTTACTAAAAGTAAATACAGTTGAAGCTTTCAACATCACTCACAAGGGATCTTGAATGTTTCATCTGTAAGTAGACATACCTAACTTAATGTAAAACATATGCATTCACTTGACAGCTGCTGGAGTTGGGGAGTCAACTTATACGGTAGGTATACCTCTATGACCAGATTTTTTTGCTTGAAAAGGGGGGTCGACTTATACGCCAGGTCGACTTTTACGGTAAATTATTTGTGTCGCTCATAAGTCAGTCATACTCCCATCATGTCATCCATTGTGGGGATAAAGTCAAGGTTACATGCAGTAGACCCTATGATAAGATGGGGGGCGATAAAGCATTCTTATGAACCATATTATTCGTCACATTCGTGCTTATTTTTCTGGCTACATTCTGAGGGACAATACAGCCTGGAGGATTCTGATATCATTGCAAACTCCAGCCACCAAAATACACTCTGCATTATGTCATGATTATTTAATAATGATGTAACCTATTACGTCAAATAATGTAAAACTTGGGTGAATTGTTTCGTGAATTTATTAGCAAAACCCTGACATCCTTCCCTAATCCTTATTAAGAAATGGCAGAATCAGCTCAACTGTTGAACTACGAGGGTGTTTGTGTGTGAGGGGGGAGGGAGGGAGGGAGGGAGGCGATGGCTGGACAGCGTACTGGTCATCCAGTAAGGGCGGGCGGACTTTGCACTGTAGTGAGAAATTTCGTCCGGGACTGTACTTTCCATCCATTGTGTCTATTTTGCTTTACTTTTGACACCTCTCTGTAATCTTTTAGTTTTAATTAGTTTCTTTCTTTTTTTTTTGCAGTTCTAATATTTTATTAGTACCCTTTGCCAACATGGAGACCCTGGTCATCCACAGGTCCTTCAACGTACCTGAACTTGCTCTGGCTAGAAAAGTATTGGCACATATTCAGATATATTCAATGGACAAAGGCTTTTAATGGGCCTTTAACAATCATCTTACATTGTAATATGCTATCATAGGACCATCCACTTATTGTACTATGCTATTGTTAGTAACAGATATTATCTCCCAACAGACCCTATGGGACCATGATGCATTTGGGAGGGACTTCCTGGGCTCAGTGTCCCTTAGGGAAGCAGATGTGCGGCAGATGTCTGTGAGCGATGCCCCAGTATGGTGTGCTCTTGATGGAACCAAGTCTGGTCAGCTGGAAATCAGGGTCAAGGTTATCTCCGATGATTATGAGGTAAAGCAAGCAATCTAGTTTAGGTGGTGACAGAATAAAGACCATTTACATAGATACATATATGGTATAACTTAAATTTGTTTAAGTCATAAGTTTTGTTTTAAATATAAACAAATTTTTTAGGATACATAACCAGACCACATGGGTTAGAAGAATTCTTGTTGAAGTTGCACTAATTTTTTGTGGAGTGTGGTTGAACTTGATAAATTTTTCGTGTAAAATCTCGCTAAGTAAAATAGTTTCATTAGGGATTTATTTTACTTTTGAGGGGATATTTTAGCTGTCTTATGAAATGACAGTATTCCCCATGTTGTCTTTGTCTTGTATTACTTATTTATACTATATCTGTATATCAAACTGAACAGTCAAGGTGTTGGCATGCTCTCACCCAACCCCAATGGATATTTTAACCAACCTTTTCATATTTCAGCTGGCATAATGCATGAGATATTTTTTCAGTCTATAAAACATTCTAAGAACCCAGTACTATATTGTACTGTACATCACACACCATCTCTTCATTACATATTGCTTGGCCATTGCCTTGTGATACTACAATACTCTTCTTTTTCTAGATCTATAAATGACGCTCAACCTATACTGAATCTTCTTATTTTACTTTTTCAACTGCATTTACTAAGGTAAATACTGTACTGAATTGCTACATCCTCAATCTTCTGTACAACACTACTGCACATAAAAATTACATCACCTATAATTTGTATTTGTTTTGTCACTTGGCTGGACACTTTAGCCCTATTAACTCAGATACTGACTAGAGGTAATGTGTTCTTTCTACTGTACTGTACTGTACCATGTTTCTGTAACTCATACACTCTTATTACCACCCAACTGTAACTCGGCAATACAAAACTGCATTCTCATTCCTATGACTAAGTCACATTTTTATCACCACATGGCTTGACATATCCTAGTACAATATGGATTTTAATTATTCTTAGTATTTTACCCCCAAAAATATATATGTTCCTTTTAGCATCCTTACTGTAGTCAGGTGTCATGATGCCATCACAGCCATGCCACACTCCAGTTTATTCTCATTAGTTGGAACTGCCAAGAATACTCTGTGATCAACAGTATATCATCCCTCTCATGTACTGTAGTTTTTCATCATAACACCACTGGTAGCTTCATGTGATGTTTAGTATTTTCCAATGTCTTGCAGTAGGAAGGTCCAATTACAAGTCCATGGGTTGCATACTTAATAGACTTGCTTAATACTTAACAAATAAAGTTTATACAGTTGTACGTCGATATAACGCGAGATATGTTCCAAGAGTGGTCGCTTTAAACCAAATTCGCACTAAATCGAAGTGTTGTTTCAATGGAATAATTTAGTTTGGTACTTGAGAGAAACAAAATACTAAAAATACTGATAGTCTACCAAGATGCACCTCGGCCCATCTCCTAGAATAAACAAAACATTGTTTTTTGTAGTTTTATGTTAAAAGAAACACTCATAAATCAACACAGCTAAAATTAAGGGATGCAAAATTGGGGGGGGGGGGGCAGGTAAGGTGATTTGTTGACAGTTGATGCCAAGGTCTAGTGCTTATTTATTTATATCTTATAAAATGTCACTAAACTGACCTGGGAGAATATAATTAACATTGCTGGAATTCTTATAAGATAGTGATTAGTATGAATATAAACATGCTATAGTTCACATTAGACATACAAATTTTAGTTATAACTAATTTTATTAAAGGGCTAAAATTTTTATCTTGTGAAAAATATATGACGTTTAAATTCAATTTATTTGCTGTCTTGCAAGGATTCTAGCAGTGCAAATTATATTCTCCTAACTTTAGTCTGTGATATTATATAAGGTAAAAACTGTAAGCCTATAACCACCCAACCCTGGCTGGGAAGAGGGGGGGGGGTGACAGTGACGTTTGACAGTTAGGGCTGAAGATCTAGTGAAGTATTTATTTGTTTATTTATGTCCTTTAGATTGAGTTTGTTTTTTGTTTATAAAATGTCACCGAAGTGACCAGGGAGAATAAAATTTACATTGCTGGAATTCTTATAAGATAGTGATTAATTTGAATATAATCATGCTATAGTTTGCACTCGACAAAAATTTTAGTAATCATTTAGAACATTATTTTGAGTACATGTACAGTACAGCTTTGCCCTTAGGACAGTGTAGCGTGCCCAGAGAAACAGGCGCAAATTTTAAAATATGATGCGCCAGATTGACTCGCGCAAAATAGGAAAGATTTGCGATAAATTAAAACATAGTCCTTATTTGTGGGCGTCGCTTTAAATCAATAATCTTAAATTGAATTGCTTTAAACGGACTTTCTACTGTACTGATGTGACGGGCCAAGTTCTTCTCATTTTATAATTTACCATCCAGATATTCTTTTCTGTTATTATTCTTCAATTCTTTATTTATAAATATACTTTCTATTCTTATACAAGTAATTCTCTTCTCAGTTATGTATGTTCTCTATATTAAACTTTCATGGTGTATTTATTTAATAATTTCTATGCTGTGTCGTTAGTTCCACCATGTACATACATGTCTTATCTTTCTTTTCTTGTACTTCCAAGTCTTTCATTTCTTTCATATACCTATATTTACTCAGTTTCAATGTTCTTACCTTTCTGAAGTATACTCTGTTTTACGTCTATTCTTATACATGGGTTAGTCTGGGGAACCATGTTATTCTTAGTACAACTCTTTTTATACTTACAAAGGGTAGCTGCCACCACCATTGATTTTTCATTATATAACATAGCTCATGGAAAGTTTTTGGGTAGTGTGGTAGATGTATAGGCACGTGAGTAAGTATTATTTTCTGGGAACCAATGTTTAGAAGGAGTAGAGTGGTGATACTAGTAGATTACCAATTCAATATTTATTAACACAGTGAGTGAATAAGATGCATCTTTGATTCACCCAGACAAAACAGAACTGCAATTAACTTATTAAGTCATCAAACACTTCAAGAACTTATTACCTCATTAAACACCTCCAAATACTTATTACTTCATTAGACAATTGTGGTATTATTACTTTGACAAATGAGATTCCGTAACTATTATTCACAAGATATCACTGGACCCTCAGGTCTTACTTTAACAAGTAACAATTTACCTCTTCAATTCTTGGTTACAACATTACACTCTCAGGTTATTCATTCCTGGTCACTACAGACGAATACATAACACACTGGACAACTCCACAATTATAGTAACATACAATACCTCCTGTTAGTTCGCAAGGAACAACCTGGTACCTTTAACTCTCATTCAGTGGTTCAATACTTAACCTGGGATGACTATATTTCTGCTAGTCATCCCCAAGCATGGATATTAATACGGCTCCATACATATAACCAAGAACAGTAGATAGACCATGATCATACGACGGAGTCAGTGGGCCAAAGTTGTTTACAGGCTCGCTCGCTAGCTCGGAGCGCCTGGCCCGGGAAAGGTTGACTCGTGGCGGTGGGCCGTAGCGTCTGCCAAGGAATCTTGCCACCTTAAAGACATCCTTCGAGAGACATCGTGCCCATAGGCGGCTCCCGAACTTCAGGAGTCTTGCTAACCCCCACAACAGCGTCTGGAGACGTGGAGAAGAAATCACAGAGGGAGTTGAATATTTAACTTCACTATACAAAACATACGTCTGTCATCGGTCCAGACGATAGCTAGATCTCTACTTTACTCGACTCAATTGGCACGGAAGTTACTGTGTTAAAACATGAACACTGATATTCACAAAAATGACTAAGTTAAACTGAATTAATATGGCGGCGTGGAACACACGTGAACATACCTGGAGACGTGGAGAAGAATCACAGAGGGAGTGATTTTTCCTCGCGGGCCGGCATATATACGGGCCTGAGGGCATATCCCTACTAGAAAGACTAATTTTACTAACAATAGGCCCTCTATGAAAAGTAATCGTTGGACACCTAGCTGTGACCGTCAGTGTCACAGATCAGGCTAATTTTCTACATCTATATTTATGGTTTAATCAGAGATTGAGTTTGTTAGTTAAGAGGTGAAATGGAGTTATATATGCGTTCGCAACTCTATTGGCCTGACCGCAAACCACATCCCAGGTCAAACGGCCGTTAAGTCTTGGAGAATTTTGAGTTTGACAGGAACTGTTCAGGAGATTAATGACTTTCTTAAATAAACAACTGATACTAACTAAACTATAAACATCAGATTCTCTGATGTCGGGGCCACAAAATAATATAAGCTCAGTAGCGATCAGAAACTCATGGGTATCCCCACGGACGACATAAAATACGCCACTCTAGCAGGCAAACTCGACACTCACCTACTTGACACGCCTTACTAGCACTAAGGACAGTTGAAGCGCTCAACACCACTCACAATGGATCTTGACTGTTCCAACTGTAAACAGACATATCTAAGTAGACTCAAAACAAGGGGGTTCTCTCTCACATTCAAATTCATTTTATAGAGAGTTTGATTTCAGTAAGTCAGAGAAAATGGCATAACGGAGGACTGAGGTGTCTTGAAGTGATGAGAAAACGGACTCCTCAGATGGAGGACTCAAAAATAAAAGCAGAGTTACATGTTTTGTGGGCTATTGAGCGTAATATGAATCATTTTATTTTGGCATTAACTGACGTGTAAGACCATGGTCGTTACACTGAAATACTGTACTGTAAAAATGAAATTATTTCTGAAAATTTTTGAAAGCACCAAAACTTGTTATAGTAGATATTAATACTAGAGATGTCTCCATTAGCTGGAACAATTAGTGCAGAGCTCTTCTGGGAATGAGAGATTTCCGAGTAACAAGACGACTCTCTCAAATCCGTAAAAAAATCCCTCATCCCTGGAATTTTCAGGAAAATTTTTTCTCGTAAGTTCCAGAATGATGCATTTCATAATTTCTTGAACCCGGAGAAATATATCCCATCCCCGGAATTTTCCAGATACCGGAAAATTTGTCTTGGAATATCCGGAAAATGCCTAAAATCGCC